TTGACTATATTTCATTCCTTTGACTCCTTTCTTCATCCAATTGGCATCTAACACTCTCGAATCTTCATCACAAGGTTGGAACCGAGTTTATAGTATTTACACTTTAGTCCCTGAACTTTCACTCTCCTCAATTTTGGTCCTTTTTCACTTATTTCTTCCAAATTACGCCATACCCATCGAATTTCCATCTAAACCAAAATATGATATTACTAAGTACATTTAAGCATAAAATAATCATATGAGCTTACTAAATAAAGATGTAAAATGTGTATTTTATATTCATATCAGAGCCCTTCTAATAATCGATTGACTATCACAATGAAAACCTATTGTAGGTATCGGTTTAGGCCAATATGAAATATCTTCCAAGAAGTTACGAAGCCATTATGCTTCTTCTCCAACTTTGTCCAAATCAATTAACTCAGATTTCATCGTTGGTTAAGCTATACGCGTTTGCTTTGTCAATTTCCACGACACAGTAGCTTCACAAATGGTAAATACATAACCACTAGTAGGTTTGGAATCCTTCATGTCAGATATCCAATTTGCATCACAATATCCTTCCAATATCGCGGGATATTTTGTGAAGTGTAATCCATAGGTTAAGGCATACTTCAAATACCTAAGAAACCTTGTCAAAGCTTTCCAATGATCATGGTTTGGATTACTTGTGAATCTATTAAATTCATTCACAACAAATGCTATGTCTGGTCAAGTACAGTTTGTAATATATATTAGAATGCCTATAACTTGTGAATACTTTAGTTATGACACACATTCACCCGTATTTTTTACTAAGTGTAAACTTGTGTCAATAAGGGTTTTCTCAAGACTTTCCTCGAGTATATTATATATTTTAAGTACACTTTCAATGTAGTGAGATTGAGAAAGTATAATTTCTTCCAATGTTATAGAGATCTCAATCTCTAATATCACATCAGCCATACCCAAGTCTTCCATATCAAAATGTTTCGTTAACATTCTTTTGGTGTTTAGTATTATTTCGTGATTATTGCCCATTATCAACATGTCGTCTACATATATACATACAATCATATAGACTTTCGATGTACTTTTTATGTATACACACTTATCATATTCGTTTATCTTAAATTCATTAGACAACATCATTTTGTTATGCTTTTGATGTAATTGTTTAGGAGCTTGTTTCAATCTATATAAGGAATTAACGAGTTTACAATCATTTTGTTTGTGATTAGGAGAGACGAACCCTTTCGGGTTGTTCCATGTACATCTCATCTTCTAACTCACTATTTAAGAATGTTGTTTTTATATCCATTTGATGAGTCTTAAGATTACGTAATATCGCAATTGCAATTAACAACCTTATCGAAGTGATTCTATTCACGGTTGAGTATGTAACAAAGAAGTCAAGTCCTTCATTTTGTCTATATCACTTGACAACCAATCTAACTTTATATTTGTCAATGGACCCATCCCATTTTAGCTTCTTTTTGAAAATTCGTTTACACCCTAAAGGCTTATTTACGAGAGGTAAATCAACCTAACTCCCAAGTATGGTTTTGTATTATAGAATCTATCTCACTATTGATAGATTCTTTCCAATGTGGTGCTTCCGGTGTATACATTGCTTCTTCGAAAGTCTTTGGATCATTTTCTACCAAATGTTAGAAAATCTAGGCAAATGAAGTAGATGTTCTAGCCTTTTTACTACTTCTTAGTTCTTCTTCATTTGAAGTGTCATTTGTAGTTTCATAAGTTTTTTTATTTGAACTTTCACTTTCCTTGTCTTTACATGAAAAAAATATTCTCGAAGAATAATGCATTTCTTAATTCAATTGTGGTTCTTAATTACCCGTCAGTATTGACAAATTGTTGGAAAAATTTACAAGTGGAAAAGGAACTGATGAGTCCAGTACTCAAACATCCTTATCAAAATGTCCATTAGAACAACATACTATTATCAGTGAATTCCAAGAATAAAAAAGTACCGGTTGGTGATCTCAAATCACCAAAGAGAATAATTACTACTCATCAAATCCGAACCAATCTACATCCTATGGAGA